GGTCTCGAACCTGCGGGCTCAGGCAATCCACTCACCTCAGCCTCCCAAAGGTGCGGGATGACAGGCTGAGCCACCGAGCCCGGCTAAAGATGACTTTTCAAACTTAAGATTGGTTGCATGTTAAGTGTGCTACTAACTAAAAAGTAAGTACCTTCTCCTTCAAAGAAATTATTTCTAACATCTAGTAATTTGTAACTTAGCAGTGGAGTTGCCTTGTAGATGTCTTTTTTGCATTCTATAGGAGAGACCTGAATTTAACTCAGGTTGCAAGAAAACAAAAATACATCAGTACATTCAAACTTCTCTTTTGCTAACTTTCGTGACTGTGTAATTTTAAATACACCAATTTAATAACAATCTTATACTTTGTCCATATAGGCCTTTTCTGCAAAATTTTTAAAGTTGCCAGTGTTGTTAAGCATATTCAGCTCTGATGAGAATGCAGTATCTTATGTATAAAATTATGAGCTCATCATTAAAAGTACTCATTATGTGGGGATAGGGCAGGGTCTTTAGTTCAGAATCTGTATCAAGATAGCTCTTATCCTCTATGCCTTCAACTCAACAAATTACCATATTTCATAAAATAAAATGTGAATTTGCTTTTTAATCAAATTCTGCCTCCTGCATAGTTATTTTCAACAAGTTGGTAGAGGGAATCCTGCTTGTTGTATCTTCATGTATTTGACCCTCAGTGTCACATTTAGTCCTGTGAACCACCTTCCTTGCTGAAAGTCCTCATCTAGACAGCCTGTCTCCTGCCTCCCTGCCCCCTCTGTAGCACTGACTAGACCAGGAGTCAGCAAACTTATGTAAAGATCCAAAGCGTAGCCAGGCTCAGTGGCTCAACCTGTAATCCCGTGCTTTGGGAGACTGAGGTGAGTGGATTGCCTGAGCCCGTGGGTTCAAGACCTGCCTGGGCAACTTGGCGAGACCTCATCTCTACAATAAATCAAAAATTAGCCGGGCGTGGTAGTGCGTGCCTGTAGTTCCAGCTACTTGGAAAGTTGAGGCGGAAGGATTGCTGGAGACCAGCAGGTCGAGGCTGCGGTGCCTGGGAGCGGCCACTGCACTCCAGTCTGGGTGACAGAGTGAGA